ATTTATTAAGCTATTTGTTCATTGTCACACACTTAAATATAGAACTGGTACCCTTTAGGTTCATTCATAAACCCTCTCAACTTAGTCTTAAACACTCTAGCAAGAGAAAGAAAAATTAAAAGGAGCTGTAAGCTGAAAATTTGGGGCACTAGATCTTAATATACTCTTTTGTCAAAGTTAACCATTTTCTATTCTCTGGACCTTTTTCTAGCATGGCCTTTTCCCCTAATATACTTTATACCTGTCATTCTACTTTAAGTTGGAAACGTAATAAAAGTTCACTTTGAAAAGAAATTAATTTTAGTAATTTCCTGTCCACCAGAGGGCTCCAATATTTATTTCTCCCACAAATGGAAGAGATATAACATTACAATAAATTCATTAAGTACTGAAAAAATTCAAATTATCATTACCTCATTTAAACCCAGACTAAAATGTTTACATCTGCTACAATTTCTACATTAACAGTTCAAAAAGATACAGGGCTTTTAAACTAATTTATCACCTAAAATGTTTCAAATACCAAAAGTGCTTTGCCGTTATTCTCACACTAATTGTCAATTTCTCTCAGGAAGAGTTTCAATTTTATAAATATCATCAAGTACAATTTTAAGTCCAAAGCTCTAAATAGTAACTCAAATGTTTTATATAATACTTTGATAAATACAATTTATTAATAACTCTCCTTATCCAGAAAATAAAAGTACTACCTATCTACCTAGCCTTAGGCCTTATTTCTAACAAATAGAGTAAACATTCTCTTTCAGAAAACCTACAGTCATTAACATCATTCATGCTACAATTATAAACAATGAATACTGTCCCATCATTACCTATGATTTGGCTGAAAAAAATAAAATAAAATAAAGGCAGTGAATCACTTATATACAATGTATTATAATATTCTGTTCAGATATTCTCAGATTTTTTTCACAAGTTATTATGCTGGAAGTAAATCTCAGTTCAAACTCAATCACTCTTAGCAAAAAAAAAAAAAAGCCAATATTTTATGTAAATACATGCAAATTATTTATAGAACATATTTACAGAATTTTAATAGGAAAGGCATCAACTGCAAATTATTTTTTTAAAAGAGTACAGCAAATCCATTCCCTACGGGTGCTACTCCCCTTCCAAAAACTCAACTTGCTAAATTTGAATTATAAAAAGAGAATCCTTATGGTAAACACAAAAATTTACTGAATGTTTAAAAATAAATTTTATAATGTGAGTTATATTTACAAAACAAAAAAGATGCTAAAAATCTATTTTAAAGTGAATCACAATCATTGCCATAAGACTTTCCAAAAACATCAATTGATTTAGCAATTACTGTAGCTCAAGAATAAATTATCTCTAATGAAAACATGGCAGGGTTGTAACCTTACTGGACCACCTCATCTCCCAAATAGGATTTTCCTGTACAACTGACAAGCACCATTATCATGGAAAAGAGCGCAACATTTTTTCTAAGTAGCACATACTAGCTGTCAGCACTTAGAAACGTGAAAATTTTACTGCACCTAGCAAAAATGTATGTATTCATACTTGCAAGAACACATATCCTGATCAATTTAGAGTTATGCTGCAAGGAAAATGTCAGATTGTAGAAAGAGGTGGGGGTGGGAAGGCTGAGGCTTTTCACAGTGGTAAAATTGTTCTCACTTTAAGTCATGAATAAAAGCACAAATTAACTGCCATTACTGCTATGAAGAGCTTAAAAATACGAAGCACTTAATCAACAACTTCTAACCAGTATTTACCGTGTTATATTTCAAAAAGTCAAGAATTCTAGGAGCATATCAAATGAAGGTATTTCTTAAATAAAAATTCTAAGTAATAGCAAATAAAGGCTTAAAAGGCTTTAACATAGGGGGGAAATCTATGGACCTTCAACAAGTTCAACAGCTAGAAAACAAGACATAAAAAATACGCAGAACAATCTCATCTGAGCTGTACCTTAGATACACTCTGAAACAGCATCAAGATATTATGTTTATTATATAATATTGCTGTGCCCTTGCATATCACCTTTAATCAAAGGATCTCAAAGCACCACAGAATCATTAAGGCCTTAAAATAAGGTCTATAACAGAAATAATTACATTTTATAATTGCAGCTATTAATAAAAACCTTGCCACTATTTCTCAGTCCCGTGATCCAAACAAACATTAGCTTCCAAACCTTCCCTCTGACATGGAAACAGTATTTCCCAAATCATTTCAATTTGTGATTGATGCTATGCACATTTCAGCTTTTCTTCATCACTGGGACTAAAGAAAGTGATGGTACTGTTTGAATGACACAAATCTATTTCATTCTAACTCTCTGCTACAATAGTGCACATATCTTGCAGGGTGCAGGATGATATAAAATGGTGGCCTTATGGAGATCAAATTTTTGCTGGAGGTGATGAGCCCAAGCACCTACCAAACAAGAAACAGCATTTCCCAGCTCAGTCTAGAGACCTCTCCAGGCAACTTCTAGAGGGGGGTAGAGGAAACCATGTCGTTATCTCCTTAAGTGGGTAGAAGACTATTCTTCTGTGTGCACACCAGGAGGAAAGAGAAAACCAAAAGGATAAAGCAAGGGTTTTAAAACTCAGGAAGGAGAGTGTAAGGTTGCTGCATGGCCACCCAAAAGACAGAATGTTGTGGTTCCTTCACATTTAAATAGCACGTTAAATGGAAATCCAACATAAGCAAAATGTCTTTAAACCAAGGTCAAAATACACCACTTAGGGTCACTTAACTTTTTAAATTATTTTAAAATCTGTAACTGAAGTTTGCTCCTATAGAAACATCTGAGATTTTAAAATGTAATCAACAAAGTTCAATTTTACTTTTTGGCTGGAATACATGAACACTCAAATGGAATGTAACTATGTTAACAGCAATTCTTTTATAAACAAGATTATCCATCTTCTTGTTAACTGCATTATGTTTGCCCCTAGGACTGCAAAATGTAGTGTCACACACAAACCCACCTCCAGCACGGTAAGTCTACACGGCTAACTACCGTCGGTCAACAAACTCACAACCTTAACGTTTATAAACAAAAAGAAAAGCAACATCAAAGAATACTTTTTGTTTCGAGTTCTCAACAGTCAAGGGTCAAGGCTCAATCATGTGTTTTATTAGCGTTTAAAAGTCCAATGATGGAATAGGTGCTAGCTTCCAAATATTTGGTACTAAAAGTCCTGTAATATTCATTAAAAGTCCCAATATACGGTGAGCCTAGATTTGTGAAAATCCCCAAACATCTTAATATTTGTTGCCATGCTTGTTCACCTAGACACTTCAAAAAAGTCACTGCAAATTCTCGTGGACTTTTTCTTGAGGAGATAGATACACGACACTGTTCTCGCCCAGACCAAGTTTGCACCTAGTGCCTTCAGGAGCTCGTCAGTGTCACAGACTCCGTCTCCCTGCCAACCTCGGTGTCTGGTGGGGACGCCCGCCCTCGGCTCTGCCCACTGTCACCGACGTTTTCCAAAGCATTCAGATACAAGATACACTGTTCAGAGGCTTCTAGCTAAGGCATCTTCTCCCCTTAAAGCTACCTCGCCACATTTTCCCGACTTCTCCATTGCCTTGGGTGATTTGAAAAAACGCAACCAAGTGAGAAACCCCATCCTCAAAGCACTACTGGCTAAAAGGGGGAACCTCCAACTTCTCCAAATCTCCCAGCACCACGGCTTCTCAACAGGCCCCTGCAAACTCGCCCCACCTCTGCATCCTTTCTGATGAAATAAGACTGGAAACCACAATTAAATCAAAGTGTGTCGTAACTTAGCCTTCACTCACCATATCCGCCGGGACATTACTGGACATCTTGCCACTTGATAAACAGCCGGACGTTCACGCAAAAAAAAAAAACCCAAAACAAAAACGAAAAAAACCCACACAACAAACAAAAAGGTGCAGAGGTCTTCAAGCCACAGAAATCAACGTTAACGATCTCGATGAGTTCGTGATGTGCTTTCCAAAAACTAAGTGATGTGGGAGCCAAAGTCGCGGCCTGGCCGAGGTTGTGCGCGGAGGAGCGATCCCAGGAGCCGAGTGGCCGGAGCGCAGGGCACTCGGGAGGGAGCAGCCGGGTCGTCGTCAGCAGTGGCCCCAGGACCGGCCGCGCCAGGTGGACGGAGCCGAGTGACACACGGGCATGGAGCGGTGGGAGGGGGTTAAATGCGCCTTCCTCCTTCGTGGGCCGGCAGTGATTCACACGCGCGCCCGAGTCCAGTCCTCATGAAGCAGCAAAACGCCCCGGCGGGAGGTACACAGATAACTATGCGGCTACACATGGACGCGTGAGCGCTGAGTGGCCGGCGGGGGAAACGGCTTACCGAGCGCCGCCGGGGCCGGGGGCCGGGCCGCCCGAAGCCGCGCTCAAGGGCATTTAACTCGTTGGGAGCCAAGGCCCGAAGCCCGCGGCGACACGCGGGGGACAGGAGCTCGGGCCGGGCAGGCACCCACCGCCCCTCGGGGCTCAGGCCGCGGGCGCCTCCGGGCCGCAGCGGCTCTCGGGGCGCATCGTCTTCGCGGCTCCGCTCTCCTCACCGGCCTCCCCTCCCCTCCCCGGCCTCGCGAGGTCCCGCGACACCGACTCCAGCCGGTCCCCGGAAGAGGCCGGTCCTCCCTCTCCTCAGTCCGGAACGGCTTCCTCTCAGAGCTTTGTCTCGCTTCCACAATCAGTGCCAGACGCCGCAGCCACCTCCTGTCATCGCCCCTCAAGCCAACATGGCGGCTGCAGCTGCCTGAACGCGAGTCGGGGACTCCGGGAGCTCGCCCCCCACTAGCGGCCGCCGCCCCCGTCCCCCTCGCGGACACCGAGTGCGTCACGACGGAGGCCACCCTGGAGCATCACGGGAAGGGTAGTCCCCCTCGCCCGACTTCGAAGCCACGCCCCTCCTAGTAACAGTTGCTAGGAAAGGAAAGCTAGCTTTTGCCAAGCTGTGACCCAGAAGTTAGGTGTGACCTGGAGAATTATTGTGGGGGGCGGGGCGGGGGGGGAGAGATAATTCTGTACAGAGAAGTTCCCTCATGTACAATATACATACAGATTTAAAATATGGTTTACTTCTAAGCAGAATCATTTGTTTTAATGACAGAGAGCTCTCCACATCCTGCAATCTGAAAGCATTTTGTGTAGTGATTTCCTGAGTCTCAACATTACATTTGGAAGATCAGAGGCAATCATTGATTTCCAATGAGGCCCTACAAGTTCAACAGGAACATGGATCTTATTAAGCAGGGAAAATGTTTGAACATGTGTTTCTTGAAGACCCAGGGCCATAGAGCTACAATCTAATTAATTGAAATTACCAAAAACTGTAATAGTGAATAGTGCCAAAGCTACATCAGGAAATAGCTACTACAGACTAAGCGAGGATTCACTAGTTTACCAGGCCAGCCTCTAAATTCTATTTAACTCAAAATGTAATTGAAAACCTATATACCTGCAGTGATTAACAAATAGCACCAAATAATACCATTAGTCAAGAGACACATGAAGAATATGTCTACCCCAGATTTAGGAACAAAATGCAGAAAACACAAATGTCTCTCTGAATCCATATTCATATCTCTCTTAGTGCTTTGGCCGCATATTTTAGGAAGGTCAGTCTCAATAACACACATGTGTAAAAATGCCAGCAGACTTAGAGTCTGAAAGCCACCTCTCCAACCTATAGCTATGTGATCTCATCTGTAAGACAGTCTTGCCTACCTTCCACTTTTAAAGTAGAATGACTTCATGCTGGGAAAATAGATTACTTTGTAAGTAATAATGCATCATTTGGTATGAAGTGTTACTACTCCTTCATTCAGCAAACAACTGTGCCAGGCACTGCTAGGCATCAGGAGTTTAAAAATGGATAATCCAGGCACTGTGCACAGGGAACTCACTGTCTGACAGCTTGTCATTCCCCATAGCAACCAATCAGGTTTGTCTCATCAGGATAGAAACTCACAGGACATGTAGAGTGCCTGCCTCTTAAGTAGCCTGGTAAGTTCCAAGTACTCCTCCAGCCTACCTCATTCTATGGTGAGTTAGGTTGGTAACCAGGCTGGAGGATAGAGCAAATACCCAGAGAAACCAAAGGACAGAGGAAATAAAGACCCAATCACACCACAATTAGGCTTCAGGACTTTGTCTAAACATTTCTGAGTCTCTAGCTGCATGACTTTCCATGGCCTTGGTACTTGGTTCCTCATTCACCATGTTTAGCAAGCAAAGAGCCCCCTTCCCAGTCCTCCAGATATAAGGACAGTTGAAAATGCTTCCATTGACCAATGAGTTCAGAAGGAATATTGGAACACAGTTAGAAGGCTCTTGCTTGCAAAATTAGTCCCCTCACACCAACTTTCATCCAATGACTGCCCTGGCAGAGGTTTGTTGGGCCTCCATGCTACTGTAAGTAGGAAGGCAAGGAGCATAACATGGCAGGACTTATGCAAGCTTCAATTCACACCTCTTTTGCGGCTTTCCAAGGGCCACGCGGCAGCACAGTGTAACAACCACCAAGGGAGCCCAAGACCTTGACATTTCCAACAAGATGTTGCTGTTTGCTGCCAGCTACCTGTGCACTACTAGAAGAGACCACATTTTTCAAAAGTAAAGTCACTGTACCTAGCTGTGTTTCCAATCACTCTTATAAAATGGCTGAGACATTTTTCTCAGTAAAACTTATTGTAACTATTCATTCACTGAATTAGGGCATGAGAGCATTACTGAACACAATGTAGATTCTCTTATCTTTACTCTCTGCCTCCAGACTCAAATGGGTGAGCCAGGAGGCTGCAGAAAGAGCACAGTTGTCCACAACAGGGAAGAGTAGCATCTTCTTTCTTTTTTAAATCTTTATTGTTGAGAGTATTACAGATGTCCCCTTTTATTCCCCACATTGCCCCTCTCCACCCAGTTCCCACCCTACCCCAGGCCTTCACCACCATATTGTCTGTGTCATTAGGTAATGCATATATGCATATAAGATCATTGGTTAATCTCCTCTAGATCTCCCTTCCTTCTGAGATTTGTCAGTCTGTTCCATGTTTCCATGACTCTGATTCTATTTTATCTATCAGTTTATATTGTTCATTACATTTCTTATCTATTTATTTTTATTTTTAGATTCAATTGTTGATAGATATGTATTTATTGCCATTTTATTGTTCATATTTTTAAACTTTTTTTCTTCTTTTTCTTCCTCTTCTTGAAGAATACCCTTTAACATTTCATGTAATACTGATTTGGTGGTGATGAACTTCTTTAGCTTTTTCTTGTCTGGGAAGGGCTTTATCTGGCCTTCAATTATAAATGACTAGAGGCCCGGTGCACAAAATTTGTGCACTGGGGGGGCGGAACCTCAGCCCGGCCTGCACCCTCTCACAGTCTGGGAGCCCCTGCCCACACCGGGGCTCCGCGATGGGTCACCCCAAAGAGGGAGGCCCCTCCTACCTGCCACAGTGCTGCTGCTGGGTAGCCTGGGCCTCCCTCGTTGGGGCAATCGATCGCGCTCTACAGAGGGAGGCCCTGCCCACTCATCACAGCCTGCCGGTCAGTGGCCTGGGCCTCCCTCTGTGGGGCAATCATGGGGTGATGGTGGGGTCCCCAACCAATCACATCACACCACCTTGGCTGGCCTGGCGCCAGTGGGTGTCATAGCGTGGTCATTCAGATGGTCATTCCACTGTTCGGCCTTTTGGTCAATTTGCATATTATGCTTTTATTATTATAGATAGCTTTTCTGGATTGAGTAATCTTGGTTGTAGGTCTTTGCTATTCATCACTTTGAATATTTCTTGCCAATCCCTTCTGGCCTGCAAAGTTTCTGCTGAGAAATCAGCTGATAGTTGTATGGGCATTCCCTTTTAGGTAACTAACTGCTTTCTTTGTGCTGCTTTTAAGATTCTCTCTTTGTCTTTAAACGTTGGCATTTTAATTGTGATTTGTCTTGGTGTGGGCCTCTTTGGGTTCCACTTGTTTGGGACTCTCTGTTCTTCCTGGACTTGTAAGTTTATTTCTTTCACCAGGTAGGGGAAATTTTCTGTCATTATTTCTTCAAGTAGGTTTTCAATATCCTGCTCTCTCCCCTCTCCTTCTGGCACCAACATAATGCGAATGTTGGTACACTTAAAGTTGTCCCAGAGGCTCCTTACACTACCTTCATATTTTTGGATTCTTTTTCTTTTTGCTCTTCTGATTGGGTGTTTTACTTTTTAATATATTTTTATTGATTTCAGAGGGAAGGGGAGGGAGAGATAGAAACATCAATGATGAGAGAGAATCATTGATCAGCTGCCTCCTGCATGCCCTCCACTGTGGATCGAGCCCACAAGCTGGGCATGTGCTCTTGACCAGAACTGAACCCAGGACCCTTCAGTCTGCAGGTCAATGCTCTATCCACTGAGCTAAACCAGCTAGGGCTGATTGGGTGTGTTTTTGCTTCTGCATATTCCAAATCATTGATTTGATTCTTATAATCCTCTACTCTACCGTTGATTCCCTGTAAATTATTCTTTATTTCAGTTAGTGTATGCTTAATTTCTGACTGATCCTTTTTCATGTCTTTGAAATTCACACTAAGATCCTCAAAAGTCTCACTAAGTCCCTTGAATAGCCTTATGACCATTTTATCTGGTCATAAATTAAGAGATAAATTAATGACTTAATTTAGCTCTCATTAAGTCCCTTGAATAACCTTATGACCATTGTTTTGAGCTCTGTATCCAGTAGATTGCTTGCACCCATTTCTTTCAGTTGTGACATGTTTCTTTGTCTCCTCATTTTGGCTGCTACCCTGTGTTTGTTTCTATGCCTTAGGTAGAGTTGCTATGTCTCCTGGAATTGGTAGAGTGGCCTTGTGTAGTAGGTGTCCTGTAAGGTCTAGTGCAGGGGTGGGCAAACTTTTTGACTCGAGGGCCACAATGGGTTCTTAAACTGGACCAGAGGGCCGGAACAAAAGCATGGATGGAGTGTTTGTGTGAACTAATATAAATTCAAAGTAAACATCATTACATAAAAGGGTACAGTCTTTTTTTTTTTAGTTTTATTCATTTCAAACGGGCCGGATCCGGCCCGCGGGCCATAGTTTGCCCACGGCTGGTCTAGTGGCTCAGCTTCCCAGTCACCTGGGTTGTGTGCACAGTCTTGATGTAGTTGATTGCTATTGGTGTTGCTGGGAGGAATTGACCTCCAGGCCAATTAGCTGTGAGGACCAGCTGTGACTACAGTGAAATAGCTGCACACATGCTGTGTAGGAGACATCCCTATGGAGCAGGATTTGCTTCATTGGAGCTGTGGTGCTCACTGAGTCTGACCCTCGAGTGTGTAGCTTGTGGATGTGTAGAGTTGTAATCTAGTATGGCCTGAAGCTGCCCACTGGTACACTGGCTCTGGGATTTCTGGAAGATGCAAAGTCAGCCACTGCCTGGGGCCACCTGGCAGGAGCTACAGAGAGATCTGCAGATGGCTGCTACTTATATTGGGCTTGGAAGTGCCCAGGGGAGGCTCAGTTGTGAAGCAAGGCAGGCTGATGCTAGTGCCAGGTATTGGGCCTTTTATTTGATAGGTTTGGGGCATGCTGATGCCAGCTGCTGCTTGTTTGAGTGATTTTAGCAAAGTCTGAAACCTGAGCCTGGACAGGCCATTCATATGTAAAAGCCACTGCAAACAGCAAAGGGTGAGGCTGCAAATTAGATGGGACGGGGTCTCAGGGAATCACCAAGGTGGAGGGGACAGTGTTGGACACATTGATGGAAGCTCATATATGGCTTCCAGTCAACTGTGCAATGGGTGAGGTCCCAGCACAGGAACAATGACTTCTGTGAGCACTCCTATCTGAGAGAAAGCTGTCCCCGATTTCCTGCCTTGATGCTAGACAATCCAATCCCTTCCTGTATGTCCTGGATCCCCCAAAGTCACTGCCTGACTCTGGAGCTCAGAGAAAGCAGACTGTGTAAGTTTGTGCATAGGCCCTTTAAGGGGAACTGCCTGGGTCTCTAGCACCCTCTGTGTCACTCAGTCATAATCCCCACTGGTTTTTACAGCATGAAGTTACTCTTCCCAGCTCTGGGACACTGGGTTGGGAATCTGGTGTGTGGCTACGACCCCTTGCTTCTCATGGAAGATCTCTGCAGCAAAGAAATCACTCCTGATTATAAAAACATTACAGGCTGGTTTCGGTCCAGCCTGTTCAATGCCTTCACCCTTCCTACCAGTCTCAATGTTCTTTTTTTATTTACTTCTCCAGTTATAGGACTTTTATTCAGCCAGATTCAGGCTGTTCTGAATGATGGTTTTCTGTATTTTAGTTGTAATTTTGATGTGGTTGTGGGAGGTGTTGGGTACCTGCATTTAACTACCCACCATCTTGGTTCCTTTTGATCTCGAAATCCAATAGCATCTTCTTAATCCCATTAATCTATTGTCAGCATCAATCTAAAGGAAGCAAATGACTCAGCATTTTTGTATTAGGAAAAGCAACTTCACAGGAAATCAAAAGACCTGGGTCTTACGAATCAGCTGTGTGACCTTTGCCAACACACAACCTCCCTGAGCCTCCATTCTTTTATCTGAGGAGTTGAACTAAATCTCTAAAGTCACTTCTAAGTCTCTGAGTGTCAAGTCCCAGAAGACTATCACATGACAACCATGGCCTGTTACAAATATCTCCCCCCAAGTGACTACTATGACTATATGGGTGTTTTGTGTGTGTGTGTGTGTGTGTGTGTGTGTGTGTGTGTGTGTGTGAGGGGGAGTGATGAAATTATTCTAAAATTAGATTTTGATGATGGTTGCACAATTCTATAAATATACTGAAAACCATTGAATTGAACATGCTAAATGGGTGAATTTATTTTTTATTTTTGAAATTATGGTAAAATATGCATAATATAAAATTTACTATCTTGTATGTTCTTAGGTGCACAATTCAATGGCATGGTCAGGAAGAGAGAACAGGTGGGCCAAAACCTAGACTAGAGGGAAAGAGTACAGGGAGGGGCAGTGGCTGAAATTCAGAATGCTGCATGGGAGTGGGGCAGGAGTAGGATAAGAAAAGGTCAGGAGAGAGAAACTAGGGGCCAATCACTAAGGACTTTGCAATTTAGGTTTTGCAAATTAGTTTGGATTTACTCTGACAGCAAATGGAAGCCACTAAAAGGTTTTAAACTGGGGAATGTTGTGATAAGATTTGTTTTGATAGAAGGATGGAAAACGGTCTCTGAATTCCAACAGTATATTTTGTCTATATTTTGGGAGTTAGTTGTCATCTGTACAACCTCTTAGATTCAGATAATTTAAAAGTGCTTCAGGGGTCTTGGAGATTATCAAATCCCAAATATTCATTTTACAGATAAGGCAGCTACCAGTTTAATAGGAGATCAAGCTGACTCCTAATACAGAGCTCGTCCCACTATCTCCTCTCCTACCAACAAACTTCTACAAAACCAAGGAGGACTATTAATCACTCTACTGCATAATATATTCAACCCAGTATGTATTTTCTCTTTTATTTTTAAAGTAAAAAGTAATATCAATGATATAAAATTCTAGAATCTAAACTTGCTGTCATGGCCATGGAGTTTTAAGGGTCTTTGTATCCACAAAGCTTAGCATAGTGAATTAATAACACCCAAGAAACCTTGCCAATAGTGCATTATAGAGATGAATCTTTTAAAGTTTTTCCCAGTTCTGTGATTCTGTAAAGTCAGGAATTATCTTCCCTTATTATGTTCAGATCTAGAAGTGTGTTTCATGAGCACAAAAATGATATTCAAGGCTTTGCACATTTGTTTTCCCATGACTAAATTAAGGAATGGAAAAGAAAACTATTTTTATGTGAAAAGGAGTTCATTTTTGAAAAAAATAAGAGTTATATTTTTAATGGTAACAAGTTTTAAGCAATTTTGTGTGTCCAAATATTCAACAATGGACGTTGTGCAATTTAAATTCATAGGCCATCAGAAAAGTAATAACTTTTGTGTTTGCCTCTTGCTGGCATCCCATAATGCCTTCCTTCATGACCTGACCCCACTTTTGCTGACACTTTTGAATCAGCCAATGCTCAAGCTGGAAGGAATTTGCACATGATGTCATCTCCCTCTTTTTGAACAAATGAGGAAATAGAAACTTCTTGAGAAACAGCCACGTTTTCTCTGTAATTTTCAAGTGTACATGAGAATGAGTTGCATCTAAAATGTTCTAAGAAACAAAAAGACAGAGTTATTCCTACTGGCTTTATGAAGTTGTTGAATTATTACATAATTTTATCTTAAAAATGACAAATATCCCAAATAAATATACAGTGGGGCCTTGACTTACGAGTGTCCCGACTAACGAGTTTTTTGAGATACCAGCTATCTCTCGGCCGATTTTTTGCATTGAGTTGATAGAGTAATTTGAGTTAAGAGCTCCTTAACGAGCTCCTTAACGAGCTTGGTCTCAGAAAGAATTAAACTCGTAAGTCAAGGCCCCACTGTATATATTGTATTATCAAATTGATATCCTAAAACACAATCAATATTCTTGGTTTTTATTGTCTCACCATAATAGGGTTAGTCAATGAAAGAAAAAAAATTTGAATACCCAGAGTAATAAAATTCAACCCAATTAAATTTAAAAAACCCACAAACAATTATATAAGCATTATATAAGTGGAGGCAAAAGAATTCTCCTTAACACTAATCTTGTGGCATGAACTATAAATTCTGTTTCTTCAACCTTAATAACCTTCACCATAGTCATTTTTATACTAGTTTTTTTTATTGATTGATTGATCCATCATTACTTCACATTGTTCAAATTGTGTTTTTCTATTCACCAAGGGACTAACTTTACTGTTTATCAATAAACATATTATGCATTATATTAACATTTAAGAGCCGAATAAGGAATCAAGGAGAGATTTCTCCAAAACCTTGTGCTTGCTCTTGAAGCCTTGCAATGTTTCACATTGACAGGGAAGTCACCACAGTTGGAGAGTGGCTTCTGTTGATGCTGATTCAGTACTTAAGCCAGGCCTTATTGGGCAACTGCCTATATGGTTGAATTTCATGGCCTTGTTCCCTAAACTGAATAATCCAGTTAGCTGTTGCCTTCTCCAGCATGCCTGTTAGAGATTTCACAGGGGAGCTGCCTAACAGTCTCGTAAGGGGAACAGCAGGAAGAGAGCCAACTGCTCTGTTTGCCTGGGCATCTAGTCCACCATGCCAGGAGCTTTCAGATCAGATTACTGTATCATCTTTTGTGGGGGGACTCAGACATGATTAATTTATCACAATGACAACCTTTGACTTAAAAGAGAAAACCTGAAATGAACTTAAATCAACAGATTCTAGTGAAAGAGAAGGGGAGGGGAATACCATATTAGTTATGAATGTGGGCCCTGGATTTAAATTACTATTTGAGTAAAACTGGATGACTTACTCAATTTTCTCATAAAAAAAAACAACTCAGAAAAGTTGAGTATATTTAGAATATTACACTAAAATATACACATTTAAAACAAAACTCTTTCTTGCACAAAATAAGCTCTCAATAATAAGCTACTATTATAATTATCATAATGAAGTGGGATACAGTGGTGGATGCTTTGCCTGTTACTTGTGTAGGTCTGTCTCACACTATTTTCCTGCTATGCTAACATTTTCATTTGTGATAGTGACAGGATTAAACCAACTTCTCTTCAGGCATGTGTTTTCAGCTATTTGTTTATGCTCAGCTCAAATCTTTCTCCATTCTTCTGCCCTTTTTATGGAGACCAAAGGAACCATGTTTATGCAAAGGTTGTAGAATTTATGAAAAGGTTGTTCGCCTCATGGCTAATAACGTAAAGTGAATTGAACATGGAATTTGAACTCTAAACTGTGACCTCATGGCCTCTTACTTCACAGAGAAAAGGAATAACCTGGGTATGTGCCCTGACCTGGAATTGAACCTGCCACCTTCTGGTATATGGGACAGCACTCCAACCAACTGAGCCATACCGGCCAAAAAAGGAGTCAAGTAAGATATCTCACAAATTTGTATCCAGTCCCTAACTCATTACCATCCACACTTATTTTTATCTCATCACCCTCCTGCTTTAGGGGAAGCCCTAGCAACCTCCTTCCAAGATTCAGCTCTCTTACCTGCCTAGGAGCCACTCCTTCTGTCTCAGAACCTTGTTGCAACAAACACTGTCCTTCTCTCTCTTACTTCTTCTGCCTCTCCTGTCCCGAAGTTCTTCTATTTAGGGTGACCATATAATATGCCGTCCTAACCAGGAAAAGTCAAAGGAAAAGGAGCACTATAAATAATTCCTCAGCCCTAGCCAGTGTTGCCTAATGGATAGAGTGTTGGCCTATGGACCAAAGGGTCCCCGGTTCCTTTCTGGTCAAGAGCACATACCTTGGTTACAGGCTCCTCCCCAGCCCGGGCCTGGTTGGGGCTCCTGCAGGAGGCATCCAATTGGTGTATCTCTCTCACATCAATGTTTTCCTCTCTCTTCCACTCTCCCTAAAAAATCAATGGAAAAATATCATCAGGCGAGGATTAACAAAAAAATAAAAAATAAATAATTCCTCAGAAAAGCTGGGATGACCCCAGGCAAATTTCTCTTTATTATGAAAATATGTCAAATCACTCCCATATTTTAAAACAACAAACAAAAATACGGGCTCATTTCTCAGTGCTCTTTTCTATCTCTTACCCCGTCTTGTTTCTCCCTGAACATCAGCTTCTTTAAAGTATAGGGGACCATGTCCCATAAAATCCATTTAACCTCCACTCAGGACTCTGCATAAGGCTGTGCTGGTTGTATACCTCACAGCTCCAGAGGAGTGACTCCTGTCATAATTGGAGTTGTGCGATGCACAATTATCCCAACCACACATGGATGAGTGGATAGGGAAGCCTTACCCACTCTGTCCCTCACACTTCACTCAAACTATTAAGCTAAGATTTTTAACTGCCAAATGCCATGGACACATTTTAAGCCTGGTCATCCTCGATCAATTCTCAGAGTCCTTGGCACTACTGGCCACTCTCTTGCTCTTGGATAGGTCTGGAGTCAGACCTCATGGGATTGGATTCCAACTCCACCACTCATAGCATTGTGAGCAAGTTTACTCAATCTGTGTAAATTGGGAGCATCTCAAGTGTAAAATATGGTTAATAATAGTAACTTCTCCATGGAGTTGTTGTCAGGGCCTAATGAAATAGTTGCAAAACACTTAGCACAATGCCTAATAGATATGTCACTCTAGAAATGCTCACTATCATTATATTTTTTAAAAAACTGCTTCTACAATATCCCTCTTTCCAAGTTTTCCAACTACCTCTTTGCTTCCTTTCCATCTTTTTCACTAGCTTCTATACTACATCTGATTCTTAATTATTGATTTTATCCTGATTCCTTACCTAGGTATACTTTCTACCTCAGGGGATGATTGAAAACATTTAATAAAAAACTATATATGCAAAAGAACTTTGTAACCTCTAAATCCCTCTATAAACATGAGGTGTTCCTAACAAAGTTTAATATCTTACCTGCTCTCTCCAACAGTGCTTCCTTGCCTGGCTGCTCATTAAAATTCCCTGGAGGGAAGGGAATAAAGAATACCAATGGCTCTTCTTTCTCTCACCTTTGCTCTCCTCTCTGCTCTGCACACCCTCTACTCCAGTGGCTTCAGATGCCCTACTGAACTGATGGTGTTCACTTTTATATCTCAAGTATAGCCTGCTTCCCAGGACTCCAGCTCCATCCATCCCAGCAGTCCTGTTAGACCTCTCTTCTGGAATGTCTCACAGCAACTCCAAAGTTAACTCATTACAAACCAAAGCACCACCTGCTTCTCCACCAAACCTCCTCCCCTCCCATGTTGTGCCTCCTTCTCCCCATGACCTATCCTTGACTTTTCCCTAATCCCTCACTCAATACCCAAGCCCTACTGATTCTACCCTCTTAGTGTTTTTTTAAACCATCACCCACATTTCTGCCCCCATTCCTACAACCTTAGTTCATCTCTTCACAAGTTTTCCTGGAACCAACTGCCACCCAGTTAGCCTCCCCACATCTAGGCTCATACTCCATAATAAAATCCGAATATCAGAGGTTCCAACACACCAGTGCACGATGAGTTCTCAGAGATCTATGAAAAAGTATTAAAAATAATGTTCTGAATTTTCATAAAGCAATTTCTCCCCCAATGTAAATGTTCACCCTTTGGAGAGAATGTTCTTCCTGCTTTTATGGTGTTAAAATAATTGCTTTTGAAGCAGTTGATAGTAGGTCATCATCAATATTTTTTCTTTTTTACAAATTAGCCTTCTATATTTGTCTCCAAATATTCTTAAATTTTTAAAATCAAACTGTATACTTTAAATGAGCAGTTTATTATGCATTAACTCTACCTGAATAAAGTTTAAAAAATGTTTTTCCGGTCATGAAATCTGAAAGCTTATTACATCTATTCTGCACTGTTTCTAGAAGACTCTTTCTAAGATGTATAAATGAATCATGTCGTTCTAATCATCATCAGAGTTAAAAGCAATTGCACACTTTTATGTGTCTAGCACAGGGCACAATAACTTTGCATCACAACAAACATGTGAGGTGGTGGGTTCTATGCCTGTTTTAGAGATGGCACAGGCAGCAGGTCATATAGCTTGTAAGTAGTGGAACTGGGACTTGGACCTAGGTTTCACTCACTCAGAAGCCACTGATTGATCATCACCAGTATATTTTTTGTCTCCTCGCTTAAAAATCTCTCAATTATACCCCAATACTTTAGTTTGTCTCACTTGGTATTTGACCTGTGCCTTCTCTCACTTATTTTTTAAACCTGTTTTCACCCTTAAATGCCTGCTTTAGTTACAACAAAAAACTTGCAAACCTGAGAATTTGGTAAATTCTTTCTGGCACCCATGCCTTTGTATGAGCTTGTCCTCCCACCTGGTGTCACTTTTTCCTGAGTCATCACCTGGCTAGTGCTACTGATCCTTAGAAACTCAGTGTCCTCCCAAAGTAGTCTGTGACCCCACCCAAACAATCATAGTGCCAGCTTCAGAGGGACCAGTGGACGACTCTGGGGACAGCCATGTGTATCATTGGAATGATACTTCTTTGGTAGATATATACTCTGCTTTTGCCTCCATTTGCATACTCTGTGTCAGACACCTGGTGAGTGCACAGATAAGACAGGAAAGGCCCAGCTCTCATGTAGCTTGTATTTTAGTTGGGAAGATGGCCCATAAACTCCACAATTAAAGAAATGAATATACAAGATCATTTTACATTGTCATAAATCTTTAAAGGAAATAAAACTAAAATGGAGTAATAAAATAAAAAGTGAAGGGGCAGGGGGCTGGAGGCAGCTCTAGAATGAATGGTTAGAGAAGTATTGGAAAAGAAGGCATTTGAGCTGAGACCTGAGTGAAAAAAGGGAGTCAGCCTAGTGAAGAGCTAGGGGACAGATGGTTCCAGGTTCTTCTCACTTAAAGGACGTTTCATGCACAAATGTCTAAAATCTTAACCTTACCTGGCATGTATCAGAGTCCAGTACATAGTAGTTGCTCAATAAATGCTGAGTTGTTAAACTGAAGAAACTGGGAAGGCTCCAGAGCTGGACTCTGCATCTTTTAGGAGTCTCCTAGCATTCTCTGTTGGGAAAATATTGCTTTGCAAGATTCCTCTAATTGTCTTGGGTAAGCCAGGAAAATAGAGCCAGTGGGGATTTTCATGTTTCTGACTTGTAGACACAACTGTTAACTAGCTCCTGGATATGAGCCCTTCTGGTGGTTTCAAAATTCTATGGATATGTGGGGAGGGATTTTCTAATTTGTCTTTGTGGCTAAGATTTTGTGACGTGTTCCTCTGTATGTTTCCTACTGTTTATTTTTCCTCTGTCACTTTCCCATCCCTGATCTTATGCCCAAGTGACATTAATGTAGGAATATACGTGTTTCTGTGAGATCAAGATCCTGTGGAAGAGAGAAGTACAGTAATCTTATTACATCTGGTAAAGTCCCAGAGAACATTTCACAATTTCGTTTAGTGGAATTTTTGTCTTGCCATCTATCTTTAAACACAAATACTCAGATTGAGTGTGAAAATGAAAACACAGATAGTTCTAAACCAGCTTCAAAGTTGAGAAAATAGGTTACTTCCTAATCAAAGAGAATCTAAGACGAGGGATTTACCCCAAATGCTTTATTTTGTAAAACTTCAAAAACACTCCAGAAATTTGAAGATGTACTTGATTTTCTCAACATGCAGGTGGTAGTCTGAAGATTTGAATGGTGATCCCCAGCAATTTCCATTATTCATGATTTTTTCAGCAAAGTTGTCTTTTCCCTAAATCCTAGGGAGCTCAGAACACACTTCATCCAAAATGCTCTGACGTGCTACATAGAATACAGGTCAAACATAAACGGAAGAGAAATGGAAGAGACAGAGGCAGTACACCCAGACAGAGAGTTTGCCAAACAGTAGGTGAATGGAAAAACAGGACCAGTCAACACAGATGCCATGCCCAGGGCAAGAGGCAGAGGATGGCAGCAACCCCCTGATGGGTTCCTGCTTCTTCCCGAGGAGGAGTCCAGGGCAAGTGTCCTTGACCCTTTCTATGTCCTCCTAGCTCTCAACTTTTGCATTTGTAAATTATTCCTGGGCTGTTTAGCTAACTTTCCCAAGGGGGATTCAGCAATTACAAAATCATGGACATGAATGGATTTGTGAAGCTCTTGTAAGTTTTCAGACTACGTATGGCTTTAATCAAGTAGCACCAGGGGCAAAGAATATGGAATTTTCTGGTGACTTCCATGTGTTAGGCATCATAGGGCTTTCTATACTTTGCTTTATGCAATCTTTAAGACAACTCATGAGGTTATATTATGTCCAAGATTACAGAGGCAGAAAAGAGCTCATGAGTTAGATAGAACATAAGTGTCACCCTTCTTAGCTCATGCATATACACTTTTCTTTCCAAAATAGCAAAAACAGATAAGTAACTTTAGAAACCTAGAAATAAGTATTGGCTTAAAATGCTGGTCCTAGAGTTTACTTTCTTTTAAAGATATAATTTGCTCATCAAATCCACTCTTGGGTTTGTCTTATTCTTGGAAGGGTGTTCCTACTTTCTGTGCAAATATAATTACAGGTAGCTCTGCATCATGAAATAGTAAAATAAATAAAAATAAAAATTTACCATTTATTTAAAAGCAACTCACACCACTAACATTATTGGTATAAAACGATGATAAGCTTAAGTACATGTCCTGATGCTATGAAATTCTTGGTGGTCTGAACGGGTCTTGTGACTTTTTATTCTTCTTTTTCTTGCAAGTTTCATCCTGTTAGGATGGAAGCACGTGGCCCAAAGCTCATTTTTTAAAGATGTACTTGTCAAATTTTAAATTCAAATTTTCTTTCAGGAGGCACGTTAGACAAAGTGAAGGGTGAGTGCTGGAAGCTTGAATGAGCTTTACCCCCCACCTGGAGGTTCTTTGGAGCTGATACCATATGGCCATTAAATTAATAGACCAGTTTACTCTGAATAAGTTGATTCCTTTGGAATATATAAAACAATTATAAAACTATTTGGGGGAGGGTTTTGCTGTCATTGGAGGTGTTTTTTCCTTCCAAATACTGTATTTAAACCCCAATTATACTTGAGATTGTGCGTGTTCTTTTCACATGTGCGTGTGCTATTTTGTCCTAGATCCTGTGGCAAATCAAATATGTGAAGTCTCCAGTTTACGAAGAAATTGAATTTGCAATGATTCTTATGAGGCTAAGTGTAAAATTAAAATTCTTGATTATCAGTCGTCGGTACCTTTATTTTGAGGAGTGTGCTGTGGTTCTTAGAACAGCTCCCTGGTGAAACCCATGCTTTAGTGGGTTGGTTTGTCTTTGACCTGGCTCCCTCTTTACCCTTTATTGATAGTACCATGGGTATGTTTGTTTTCATTCTGTAAAAATTTTTTAACTGTAAGATATGACAAAGCTTTCACATCAAGGGACCTACATTTGGAACAGATCATTCTTACTGGACAATTCCCCATGGATTATCTAGCTAAAGCAGATAGTTTCCTTTCAGCCTTTGTTTTCAGCTCAACTAACCTGACTGGTGGTGGGTCTGGAATTCACTTGACCCACACAGACAAGTAAAGAAAAACATGGTCCTGAGAGAAAGGTGACATTTTGAGGTCTTGTTCAGCCAACATTTTCTAGTGCCTCATAAAATCTGAGAGACTTGAAGTGGCAAAATACATAAGGGTTGATCCAGGAGGTTTCCAGCTTGGGTTTCTTCATGCCAGGGATCTGAAAAGATGGTGATGGGGCAGAGAGGAGGAAGAAATCCTTGAGATACTTTCAACACTTTAGAAAGGTTAATAGGAATTGTATATTTATGACTGATGAGCTGCTCATGGGACTCAAATGTCAGATTTATTATATTTGGACTAGAAGGTGATGACATTAACTATCTCATGGGAGAATCTATTTAATAAAAACTATTAATAAATTAGAATCTATTAATAAGTGCAGTTGAGGAGATAAAAATCTTTCAGAAAAATGGAATAGATTGGGAAAAGGTAATAAAAATTATGCAAAACCACTGACTGATCATTGCTTTATGCAAACACTTAGCACTTCCCCTGAAATGACATGGTGGTAGCATCAGGGCTGTGAGCAAAAGACAAAGTCCTGCTCTTGTGATAATGAAATTCTAGTATGGGCAGACAAATATAAATGGGTAAGCAAAAGAAGCAAATAAATAATTGTGTTCCTCTCAAAATTTCAATGTTGAAGTCCTAACCCTATCAGAATATGACTGTATTTGGAAAGAGGACCCTTTACAGAAGTAAATAAGTTAAAAATGGGGCCATTAGAGTGGGGCCCCATTGTAATCTGACTGGTGATTTCCTAAGAAGAAATTAGAACATACAGAGAGATAGCAGGGATGTTTGCATAGTAGGATGGCCATGTGAGGAGGCAGCCAACTACAAGCCAAGAAAAGAGGCCTCAGAAGAAACCAAACCTGTCCACACCTTGATCTTGGACATCCAGCCTCAAGAACTGTGAAAAAATTAATTTCTGTTGATGATATATTTAAGTCAAATCATTATATTGTATACCTTAAGCTTATATAATGCTGTACATCTCAATAAAACCAGAAAAAGTAATGTCTGTTGTTTAAGCCACCCAGTCTTTGGTACTAATTATGGCAACCCATAAACCTAATATAACAACTAATTATATATATATGTATATATATGACTTCATATATATATATATGACGCCAATTCAGATTGCATTAAGAGCTAGGAATAAAATGACACAGGGAGATGGAACTAAGGGATAGGAAGGGAGGTTAGCTCAGTTAAGAAGGCCTCTCTGAAGAAAAACATTTGTGTTCAGTCCTAATGGCAAGAAGAAAAACAACATAAAGAGTAGAGGGAAAAGTGAAAGCCAGACTCTGGACTTTGGTCAAGTTACTAAGAGGCCTCTTGCGGGGAGGGTTCACTCAGCTATGTTCTTTCCTAGTCAAGATTGCTGATGCTCCCAACCTCATTGTGTAGTCTTGCAGAATTCAACATGCTTGCAAAGCACTATGGTCACTTTGCCTAGCAAAATATTTTCATTTTATATAATATTTGTGAATGGTAATTATATTTGAAAACATTTAGTCTTAAAAAATATCTTTGATGAAATCAAACAAAAAAAATAAAAATAATAAAAGAGTAGAGGTAAGAGTTGTCCAAGCAGAGGGACCAGCAAGTGGCAAGACCCTGAGTTGGAGCCAGGCTTGGTGAGATGAAGAGACAAAGAGAAGATTGCTTGAGCTTGAGCTTGGTATACATGGGAGAGCTGGCAGAGGATGAAATCGGAGAAGCCAGATATAAGTCGTTTGTGTAGGTTTTTGGAAGTCCAGCAAAGAGTGTGGCTTGATGTTAATGCAGGGGGAACATGGAGGATTTAAGCAAAACATTGTCAACATTTCACTTAAGTTTTATATAAATCCCTCTAGCTCCTATATGGAGAACTGGGTCTTGTGTTAGATAGAGGCTTGAGGAGAAGCAGGGAGAGACATTTGGAGATTTTTACCATAAACTAGGTAAGAAGAATTGATGAGTCTGGATATGTTTTAAGGTAGAGTCGACAGGACTAGCCAAAATGACCCCCTACAGCGACCACAGAAGTCATATAAGGGAAAGGATTACCAAAAAGACAGTGATAATAATCCAGGGACAAACTTACATGCCAAAATGTTCTAAGGAGCTTCAACAGTGGCAATAAGGAATGTCAGTTTAATTAGTGTTGCTGCTTGTGGCAGCCATGTCCTGGAGTATGCTGCCACAGCACAGACCTCCGTGTCCTTGCTTTTATCTCCTAAGAGCTTGAAATTCTTCTTTCTGTCCTTGGCCAAAAATCTATCATCCTCCCTGTATTTTTCGTCCTGGGAGGTCATCATCATCATGCCAGCAATACTAGTACACACGCAGGCCAGTCTTTGCCAAGTGTGGTGATGGAAACAATTTTCTTCCAGATAATAATTGACAGGGGTGCAATTGTCCATGGGCAGGTGGTCAGAGGTAATAAAATAGAATCTGGTTTGGTTCAGGTGACTCAACCCCCCATGACGTGGACAGCTCTGTCCAGCCTCACAAGACAGGACTGTTTGTTTCCATCTACCGTCATCCTGATTGCTGCCCAACTCCTGCAAGCCAACTGGTCTTCCTGAATGCCAGAGAAGGGCTTCTGCTGGGTCCTCAACTCTGGTCCCAGTTTTGGCAGAGCTCCCAGTTAAATTTCTGTGACCTCAAAAAAGAGGTCTCTTCTGATGCTCAGCTTCTACTGAAATAAAGACCAAGTCTCTTCTGGAACTATTCTCTGTTTTCTGCCTGTTTCCCTTTTAAGCTGTTGTTCACCTCTAAGCCATCTAATTTTTCCTAGAGGAAAAAAAAGTATCCTTTGTTTACCCATTCAAAGGTAATCCTTAATAATCATGAGGGCCATTTAAGAGATATATATGCACTCTATTACGTACTGCATCTGGACAGACCTCGTCTAAATTAGCCTCTGATCCACACCACAACTCTCTTTTGGATTCTGTTTATACCAATACCTAAGGGGCATCTTTAATTCTAACTTTGCAAAACCGACAAGAGGATTAATTAGAAATGACTGTGGCCCTACCCAGTTTGGCTCAGTGGATAGGGTGTCAGCCTCCAGATTGAAGGGCATGTGTTAGATGCTTGATTCCAGTCACATGCGAAGGCAACCAATCAATGCGCCTCTCTCACATCAGTCTCTCTCTCTCTCTCTGTCTCTCCCCCTCCCTTCCACTCTCTCTAAAAATCAATGGGAAAATGTCCTCAGGTGAGGATTAACAAGAACAACAAAAAAGAATGACTGTGGCCAAAAAAGGCATAGAAACAAATGTGTCTTTTAAAACTTTGTGTAAAATCACAAACACAAAAGTAATACATCCTTAATAGAAATGTGGAAAAGAAAACCAGAGGAGAAAAAAAGGAAAAGTGTGAAAAAGACACAAAGCCTGACAAATTCCACCCATAACACTAACTCCTCCCTCCTCCCATTAGTCCTGTTTTCTACATTTAAAAAAATATTTGGACTCATATTGTATATACAGTTTAAAATCTTGCCTTTATTTTTCATGGTTGTAAACACTTTGCAAACATTACAACTTTTTGTAAATATATTAGTTAGTGGCTGCATATTGTTCCATCATAAGGCCATGACACAACATATTAGTATTTTTAGCTGAGCAAGAACAGTTGAATATGCTTATATCTTCTCTTTTGCTGAACCCAGCATCTTGGGAAGATACTAAGGAACAATTGCCCAAGGTCCAGGTATAATCAGGAAGAAAAAGAAAAGGTTCCTAATGTATAACTAACCCTTAAATAGTCAAAGTTGAATGTATATAAGTGTTTATTTACTTTTTTGCCTTTCACTCTTCAAAGCTCAATCTAGCATCCTTCAGAGTGCAGGCCTATGGGTTCTTGGCAATTGACAAAGAACAAATACATTTATATAATTGGTGATTAATGCTTCCACCTCCAAAAATTATTCACAACCCCGTCTACTTTTTTGATTGAGGTATGGAAATGTATATTACATTTTTTTAAAGTTATTTTTGGCAAGGGGTTTCCAACATCCTTGAAGTAGTTGGACTTACCCTAGAATATTACATAATTAGGGTCTTGGAACTATAGTGAAAGTTATGTTAATACTAGAGGCTCGATGCACAAATCTGTGCACAGGTGGTCTGGCCAGCCTGCCCCAGGGCCAGTTGGGCCTGACCAGCCAGGGGGAGGGGACGTGGGAGGTTGGCCGGCTGGCCCCGCCCCCTGGTCAAACTCTGGTCGAACTCTCAGTTGAGGGGACAATTTGCATATTACCCTTTTATTATATAGGATTATGTCCTACATGATGGGAACACATTCCTCTGTGTTTTGATGGAACAGCAGGTTTGAGGAGCCAACAGGAAAAAAAATGCCATTGTTTGCCTGGCTAACTTTAAAGTCTCATTTCATGGAATGAAATTCATTTACATTTCATTATAAGATCGTTTTTAGTTATTACATTCTAGTGATGGAGGAATTTGTAATGCATTCATAGAAATAATTAAAATTTTATAATGGTGCTCTTGTTCACAATTTCTGAAAACAGCATTCTTTTAAACTATATAAGCTCAGAGCTCTTTTATTATCTTTGATTGATCCCCTGAAATGCCCTCGTGCTCAATGTCAAGCAGAAAGGCACACTGAGGATTCAGAGAACTGGAAAAGGAAGT